CCTCTCCCTCCCCTGACCCGCCTCTCCCTCCCCCAGCAGGCTGTGCTGCTCCAGGGCAGGAGTGATAGTTTCCTCATCTCTGCATCCTCAGAGCCGCACCAATAGGTGTTTTGCAGATTTTTTTTTTTTTTGGCCACACCACACGGCATGCGGGATCTAGTTCCCCAACCAGGGATCGAACCCGCATCCCCTGCAGTGGAAGTGCAGTGTCCTAACCACTGGACCACCAGGGAAGTCCCACCAATAGGTTTTTACTGGTGAATTTGTTTTCCACTTTTCATTAACCAAAGACATACATAAACACTGATAAAAAAGCAAATGTCCTCACAGTAATGGATAAAATCCACACAATAACCCTTGCTATTCTGTTTTCTTTACACTTGAAAGAAATCTGAAAATAGTGATTATTCGCTCTCTCACTCTTCTAAGGGTTTGGAATGGCCGAGGCTGCAACAACTCCCTCCCTAAGCACTAAGGCCCACGAAAGCAGGTCTCAACTGCCCACCTTTGAGTGCTCTGGGCCTGGCTGGCACACGGTGGGCTCTTCACGAGTGTTTATTAAACTAATTTAAAACTAAACTACAGGGACATCCCTGGCGGCCCAGTGGTTAGGACTTCACGCTTTCACCGCCGAGGGCCCGGGTTCGATCCCTGGCTGGGGAAATAAGATCCCATAAGCTGCATGGCGCGGCCAAAAAAAACCCCCCATAAAACTAAACTACAGAAATGTAAATAGCAAGGATTTCTAAGGAACTCATTCTTTCTTCTTTTCTCCCAATCTATATTTTTACACGCTATCACCCACCTTGCTGATTGTACTCCCAGCCAAACTTCCCTGAGTCAGTGAGCGCCTGGCCCAAAAGGGCGGCTTCGTGCATCAACTTCTTTGCGATGCAGCCGACATTCACACAAGTGCCACCAAGACCTGAGAGAGAAAGTCATAGTTGTAACGTTGTGTGTGTGTGCGTGTGTGTGGTTTTGCACACGTGCAGAGTGGGTGTGATTAAAACGTGGAAATGACAGACTTGACGGTCATGCGGTCACCATCACGCCCCACAACAACACGAAATGATTCACCGAACTTGTTGACCGAGGGTCCACGAAGGAGGCCCAGGGATGTGCCAAACATGGACGCGCACGTGAGCTGTTTTCTGGGGACAGAGTCCAAAACTTCCACTTGAGTCTGACCCACAAAGCGGTCAGAACCGCGTCAGGTTAATTAGGGCCATGCTGCACTGAGGCCAAGACTGCAGCCTCCAGCCTTTGCTTCTGCAAACCTGAGTCCTCCTCTGAGCCAGCACAGGTCCACTGCCAGCTGCCAGGTAACATCTACTCTGGATCCTTCAACAACACGGGGCTAGAGACAGAAGAGCCCTCTGAGAGGACATCTCTCCTGGTGTCCAGGTTAAGCGGGCTCTTTCTGGACAGGAGAGGGGACGGGGGCAGAGGAAGGAAGAAGAAAGACAAGCGTTCCAACCATACGAGCAAAGTTGAGGTGGACTCTACCCTTAATACATGAAATTCTAGGCTAAATTTTTTTGAGTAAACTTGAACTTTAAAAACCAACTTTCCCGGGGCTTCCCTGGGGGCGCAGTGGTTAAGAATCCGCCTGCCAATGCAGGAGACACGGCTTCGAGCTCTGGTCCGGGAAGATCCCACTTGCCACGGAGCAATGCAGCCCATGCATCACAACTACTGAGCCTGCGCTCTAGAGCCCACGAGCCACAACTACTGAGCCCGTGCACCACAACTACTGAAGCCCGGGCGCCTAGAGCCTGTGCTCCGCAACAAGAGAAGCCACCACAATGAGAAGCCCACGCACCACAACAAAGAGTAGCCCCCGCTAGCCGCAACTAGAGAAAGCCCGCACGCAGCAACGAAGACCCAACACAGCCAAAAATAAAATAAATAAAATAAATGAATTTATTACAAAAAACAAAAACAAAAACCAGCTTTCCCATTTTGTCAGGGTTCTGGCAGGGAACACGTGACACTCCAGCTGGGGAACTGAGCAGAGGGTAGAAATCATTACAGGGTGTGGCAGGAAGACCAGTGGGTGCAAGGGGGGCCGCCACCAGCCCCGTGAAGGGGTGAGCGACGGGGCCAGGGCTGGACCACAGAGGAGAGCCAGCCTGCAGGGCCTGGCGGGCCTGGAGACCCCACCCTACGCTTCCTCCTCTGCTCTTCCCGTTACCCCAGTGGCCACGCCCCAGCATAAGCCAGAGGGCACGCAGCCAATTCACCAGTTTGTGGGGAGAGCAGGGTACAGACAACGGGGATGGACCGAAGCACAGACAGAAAACACCCAGCGCAAAAGCTATGCCTTCTATGCTATAGTGAAAAGAGCGTGGACAGGCGAGCACTCTTGTCTACAGCAAAGTCCCAGGCTGGGAGCTTGCTGTGCGTTGCGTTAAACGGACCTGGGATGACCACACACACTAAGTCAACTGACCATCCTGCAGCCACTGGGGTCCATGATAAAATCAATGCAGAAACACAGAAAAGCATCATGGCCAACTCAGGCGAGCACAACGGGGTGCACACACCACTGTGCGACCACAACCGTGTGAAAACACCCATGCGTGTGTACAAAAATTATTCTGGCAGAAGTTTTGGAATACTGGGGTCATGGAATTTTTCCCTTTCGCACAGTCTTCCTTAACTATTTTCCTATTATTCTTCCAGTGTCTCCTCTTGCTAACAATGTGATTGGAGATTTAGTCTCCTCACCCCTGAAACAGGTGGGTTATACTCGAGACTGTTGTGAGGACTGAGGGAGGCTGAACCGACAGAACCGCCACCGCACGATGGTGGGAAGAGCAGCTCACCCCACGATGTGCCCTGGGGCGATGGGACCACGAGGTCCAGCACCATGACTCTCCCCCGCAAAGCAGCAGCTTCCTACGAGAAAAGCCACAGATAGAGACCTTGTCATTTTCCTGACACTCCCCCGACTTCTCTCTCCCCTAAACGATGACGGTGTTTGTGATGAAACCCAGTTTTTCCTCTTCATTAACCAGCTATTACAAAAACAGAGTAGACTGGAACATCATAAATGGCTTTTTTTTTTAAGTAGCAGAAGAAATGCTCGTGGCAACCACCAGGAAAATTATCTTCGGTTGTCATTTTCTTCATACCTGAGCACACGAAAGGCCGCCAGAGCCACCACCAATGACAATGAGGTCGTAATCATATGCTGGATCTTCCTGAAGGAGCTTCTGTAATAAACCACTCTGATGTGCCTGAGGGTTAACCAAAGGAGAGAACACAGTATGACTTGTTTTCAAACTATTTCTTTGTACCCTATGCTTAATCGGCATAAATTTCTTTTATAAAAATCTTGGAGGGCTTCCCTGGTGGCGCAGTGGTTGAGAGTCCGCCTGCCGATGCAGGGGACACGTGTTCCTGCCCCAGTCTGGGAAGATCCCACGTGCCACGGAGCAGCTGGGCCCATGAGCCATGGCCGCTGAGCCTGCGCGTCCAGAGCCTGTGCTCCACAACGGGAGAGGCCACGACAGTGAGAGGCCCGCGTACCGCAAAAAAAAATAAATAAATAAAAAATAAAAAAAATAAATCTTGGAAACAGTTGACCTACAATTTCTGTAAGTTGGAACTGTCAGTTTACCTGGATGGCATTCAGTTGGGTCCAACTAGTTAGAACGGATGGCAAAGCACATATATTTTGTTGGTTATCACCCAATACTGAGGCATGTGTCCAATGATGGGGAGGTCATGGCCTTATATCCATGTCAGACAAGGTCATTTTGTAAGCAGCTCTTCTGCCCTTTTCTGTTTGCTCGTCTCTGCTTTCCTCAGACCTTAATTGTAAAACTGAGCTCATAGGTAACATTTAAACTAGCTCCTGATTTCTGCTCTACTGAATGCACGCGATACCTCGCCTGACCTGTTGACTCCTTTCCTGGATTAAAAGGAGTAAGAATGAAGGATTAAGTAGGCAAAGAATGACGGACTCTCTATGCCCATCTTCCCCCTTAGCAAATCTGCAGGTGGACCACGTGGGCAAGACGGCATCCAAAGGAAGCTCAGGAGAAGCCAGCAGGTCTGTACACGATGGAGAAAAGACGAAGAATCTGACCTCCTGTCTTAATGATTAACTGAGATTATTTCCCCCTTTTCCCTTTAAAAACGTTCACGGCCAAGCAGAATCTTCCAAGTTGGTTTTGGGACATGGGTCCGCCTTCTCCCCAGATGGCTGGCTTTTCTGATTAAAGCAACTTTCCTTTCTACTAACACTTGCTTCTCGATATTGGCTTTCGAGTGGCAAGCAGATAAAGCTGAGTTACAGAATAACTAAGTGCAGTTAAATAGCCAAGCGCCATTTTTCAAGATCCTCTATACTTTGTTCACCTGTGCCAGTCTTCACTTTGAAAACAATTCTCATGCATCAGCAGCAGGACATGCACTTTGAAGATTTTCCTGGTTTCTCGTAAATTGACCTCAATCTTGCAACTTCCTATACAACACAAACAACTTGCTTTTTCTGGTCAGGAGGCTGACCCTGCAGCACATTCTCTTGTCCACTTGGCCCTCCTTGTGGTCAGAAGAAGCTTAGATGAGGTCAGAGGCTCCATATGTGACTAAACAATAGTTCTGTCTGTGCGAAGTCGGCTGCTCAGTCCCAACACACTGGCTTTCGAACGGGCTCATCCTGGGAGCGCAGTGGAAGTGCCACACGACCACAGACCCAGCAGATGTCTCGTGCATGGTCCCAAAGCCGGGTGGCCTCCTGATTCCTAGGGGCCCGTAGGGAAATCCACCTCCTAAACAGCTGCTGTCCAAGGGAGAGTCTTGCAGTCTCGAAGTAGAACTGACGTCTCTACAGCCCCAGCCCATGCTCTGACAGCGTTTTCCCAGCTAGGACTGGTAAGATCTGCAACTCCAAAGGTGTTTAGAGGCTGTAAACTATGGTCCTTCCCACCACGTGAGTTGGGTTATAGCTTCTAGGACACACAGAGCAGGCTGTTACTAGATAACAATGCCAATCCCAGGTTAACATACAGCGTAGCCAAACTTTTCTCCCGACAAAAATATAATTCTTAATTGAAATCTGAATATAAGTATTTAATCAATCACTGATTATTACCATTTGCATACATACATAAAGGATACAAGAGCAGAATTTTAATAAAAGCGAACAACTAGTTAAAATACAGACCTTATTTAATAAATAACAATTTGGATCTATCTCTACTTAACCGGATGATTCCTGTTCATTTCTGCATTCTAGGAATCAAATAAGCAAAGCTTTGCGAAGCTCGCAGGGTCAGTAGCCTTGGTAGGAGTTTTATGCACCCTGGACCAGAATGTTAGTGTTGAGCTCATTTCACTAAACCTTGAGGAGGGAAGAGGCCTTGTTTCTGTCCCATCAGGAGGAAGAGAGCAGGGCCGCTGACCTGTGTGTCCTGCAACCTCACTCACAGCCTCCTCCCTCTCGGCTTCTGAAGTTAGAATTCGTAGAAAAGCTAATTTCCATTAAAGCAATCAAGATTATCTGATAACCATCCTATAGGCTTTTGATTTTACAAGCTCCAAAAGACACAAATGAATAGACTTCTAAAAATCATCTCCTCCCTGTTTTAAATATTTTTTTAAGACAAAATTTGCACAAACAGCATTCCAGAACACACGATACTATCATTACCTGGAAAGCTCGGTCACATCCGCCCACGTGCACTTTATTCACAGAGATATTGGGCACGGTCCTCTGATTAGTGATCTCCAACAGCACCTCTTGAACACTGGCCCCATCATCTAAGGAATAAAAGATTAAATATGTAAAACACTGCCAAGGTTCTAAGCCTTTGTGAGCTGAGCTGCAGTGTTAGGACACTCAGACACCCACATTTGCACACCCACAAAGGTCAGCATATCGTACAACTTTATAAATGATGGCTCGAGAGGGGAAAACACTCAGGTGTTCGAAAGAGCCTTAAAGAATAAAGACCAGTCTACTGACTCCTTTTGAAATAAGCACTTCTAGATTAGGATTGGATTTATGATCCAAAGAGTAGGCAGAGACAGATAAGAATCCTCTTTAAAGAGCAAATGTAAAACACAATCCGCCTTAACAGTGGTAACTCAGAAAACATCTCCTGTAATTACATTTGAAAACTCTTTATGATCATGGTCCCTAAAAGCAGAACTGGCCCATAAGTACTTCAGGCGCCCCACTTGGGATAGGCTTTAGAAAAGTTTCAGAGACTCTAGAACACTTCACTTTTAAAGTGACCTGGCTAAAAGGAGGGGTGAAGTCCATGAAGGCTCAGATCATGTTTCTGTTCATCATGACGTCTCCCACTCCTGCAAAACACGTGCACGTGTAAAGTGCACAGATGACAGGAATTCAAAAGCATGAAGCTGGAAAACTGACGTGTTGCCCCTCAGGGGTAATACACTCAGGAAACAGGGGCAGATTCACTTCATTTACCACAGCTTAATGTACTGTGCTAGACAGTTGGCAGACACATCTGAGATGCCTGAAGGACTTCCAGCTGACCGGCTTATACATCTTCCTTCTAGTCCCTCCCCTCAAATGCAAAAAACATAAACAAAAAAAATCTACACAAATTATTTTCATATACAGGTTCATTCTCTGCGAGGTTGAATGTAGATGAAATCAGCTCATCTAACCGAAAGAGACAGGAGTAAACGGAATTGAATGAGGCAAACGGAAAGAAGTCAATCTTGTTGACCTTTATTACCAACACCAATGTGTACTAATCATTCTACTTACTAACTTGATCAAGTTCCAAGATATTACAGTCAACTCCCAGGGAAGAAAAGAGTTCCTTAACCTGCAACACAAATGCACCTAAGGTTTACTCTCACAAAGACTTGACAGAGCTATGAAATACGGGCACAGGGACAGGGTGTTCACAACACATGTTCCTCAGCGACATGAGCTCTGCTCTATGTTCTCCTGCCTCCTCTATGCATCTTCCCAGAAAAACCTCTCCCCACCTCTTTCCTTCCTTTACAATCTGCATTCTCGATTTCCAAATCAGTAACTTTTGCCCAAATCCCCTTTCTGAACTCAGGACAAGCAATATTTCTCCACCTGGCTGACCACAGGCACCTCACTGCGCAGCATGCCCCAAATAAAATTCATCTGTTCCCACATCACTTTTCCTCTTTGCGTTTTCTGTTGACAGTCACTAAGCCATTCAACAAATACTCAACCATCACACGCCTACCATAGAGGTCACCCATTGTTCTACATACTCAAGATACAACAATGAGAAAGACACCACCCCTGCCCTCCAGCAGGGGAAAGAGACAAGGATTCCACCCGATTCCACCCTGTCACCACTCACCAGTTGCTCGAACACAAAACCCTAGGTCCTTGCTACCCAAATGGGGCACCAGCAGTGCAGGCATTGCTAGGAGCCGTCAGACATGCTCACGCAGGCCCTGGCTGCTGATCTGCGTTTTGAGAACTCTGCAGAGCGCAGACTGTGAGTCACTGCAGCGCTTCCCTGTCCTGCAGTGCCTCCCTCCCCTCACTAACTCCTCATCCACCAGGTAATTACTAAGTCTCGACAGTCCTCTCTACATGGAGCTAGGTCACCTTTCCAGTTCCCCACAGTGGCTGTCCTCAGCCAGTGATACCTACCACGGGGACTTCTCAGCTCCCTCCTAGGGGTTCTCTAAGTTGCAGCTGATGAGGTCAGCTTTCAGCAGGGCTCCAACCCTTCAACGCCCTCAGCCCTCAAGGTAAAGCCCAGGGGCTCCAATTCCAGGATGGAGGCGTGAGGACCCTGGCAGGCCTGCTCCCTGGCAAACGTCCACAACTGGTGAAACTTGTTTAAAAAGAGCCATTTAAAGTCTCTCGAAATTGAGGGCACACAGCAAACAAGGAAACATTTATTGAAGAAAATCTATTAGATGTCAGTAAGAGCGGGAGAGTCTGAGGCACCTGAGCCATGACCTGCGCCTTCCCTCCTCTGCCCCTGTCAGCGTGATGAAAGCTCCACTTCAGGTGAACGTGGCCAAGGGAATGAGGCTGCCTGTTCCCTGAGATCACAGCCACCAGAAGGGTCAGGTCACCACCATTTCCCAATCTCCCCACAGCTGTGAGTGGCAGAGGCTATATTCCCAGGGAGCGTGGCCAGCAACACGGGAAAAGCTCCCTTCCTTCAACCAGCCCCGCTAACAAATCCAAGTTTCCATCCCAGGCAAAAACACCGGGGCCCTGATCCGCCTGGCCCCAGCCCGCTGGTGGGGCAAGGTTCCAGGCTGGGAGAGGCCACTGCCTCACCAGAGCTGCTCGTAAAGCACGTTGTCGCGCCAAGACAAGGGGGTCGCTATCCCCACCCCAGCTCTGGAGTGAGGTCTCAGAGACTCTGCTCAGGGCAAGAGGTAAACCACAAAATCAGAGAGCTCCAAACTCTACCCAAAGGAACGCACTTCATTTGTTCAAGTCTAAAGGTGCAACTGAAACAATGGAGATTTCAGTGGTGAGCAGTTAAGGGTAGGCTGGTAGCTCCATCCTCTGTAGCCAGCTGGTTTACTAGAGAGCCAGGGAAGGACATATTGAACAACAACCCTTCTAGGGTCAGAACAAACTGCAAATTTGTCTCAAAAACTACAGCTGCAAAGGTGCCCAGATTTACTTAGATCAGCAAATGGAACAATTTACACACCAGGGCACTGTCAAAAACAGCAGAGCAACTAACCTGCGATTAGTGGAGCCTAACACCTGGCATGACACTGACAGGGTCAGAAAATATAACACAGACGCCCAGCGAGAGCCCTGCTAAACCCCTGTTATCCCAGGGTGGCTGTGTAGACCCAAGGCTGCACCTCTGAGGAGCATGGGAGGCTCCATCTTCAGGTGGAAACAAACTTCCCCCACATAATCAAGCCACCGCGCTACAAAGAAAGAAACAAGCAAGGAAAAACAAGCCACAGAGAAGGAGGGGTCCAGTATCTGGAGTTGTTATCATACATTACCTAAAATGTCCTGGTTTCGACAAAAAAAATTACCAGACATACAAAGGAACAGGAAAGTGGATCCATACACAGGAAGAAAAGCAGGCAAGAGAACCTGCCTCTGAGAGGTCCCAGATAGCATGATGAACTGGCAAAGCAGCCACTGTAACTACATTCAAGGATCTAGAGAAAAGCATTTATGCTTCAGGAGATATGAAGGACGGTATGATGCTAATGTCTCATCCAGTAGAAAATATCAATAAAGAGGCAGAAATTATATAAAGGAACCAACTGGAAATTATGGGAAAGTACAATAACTAAAATCGAATTTCCACTATAGTATCTCAACACTGGACTTGAACTGGCAGAATTAGCAAAGCTGAGGACAGATCAGTGGAGATTATGCAGCCTCAAGCCACAGAGAGAAGAGATAAAGAAAAAGGACAGAACCTTAGAGAAATATGGGACCGCATTAAGCACAATGTATGCATGGTGTGAAAACCAGTAAGAGAAAGAAAGAAAAGGGCAGAAGAAATATTTGAAGAGATACACAAAAATATCCCAAATTTGATGAAAAATTGCAATCTAAATCCAAGAAGCTAAACCATGTCAAAGTAAGATAACTCAGTGAAGCTCTGGAAACTGGTCAGAGATCTACAGCAACCAAGTGAATGCTCAGTGAAGAAAGAGCCACATTTAAATGGTAGAGAATTCTGTGGCGCTTTCCATCTCCCCAGTGCTGCACAGCACAGTAAGAAGGGAGCAGCAGCCTGGGCCCCCATCTCTTTCACAACGTGGAGAGAGCAGAGAGGCCCTCGCCCCCATGTGAGGGCTGCCTGGAGGACTGGTCTCGGTGAAGCCTAACTGAGACTGCATGAAAAGCACACATACAGACCCAGGGAAGATGTCCAGAAAAGGCCTCCGAAGAGCTTAGGCCTCCATGCTGCACTGGTTAGGGCAAGTCTTCCCTAACTTGGAGCCAGTCTGTGAAGACTGGGAGAGGTGGCCGTATTTATAATGCCAAATTTTCAAGAAAAGATCACATGCATACAAAGAAACGGAAAAAATGGCCCACTCAAAGGAAAAAATGAATCTCCAAAAATGTCCCTGAACACATATAGACTTCATTCTTACTAGACAAAGACTTGAAAACAACTGTCTTAAATATGCTCAAAGAGGAAAACACAAAGAGCTAAAGGAAATCGGGAAAATGATATATGAATAAAATGAAAATATCAGCAAAGAGATAAAAATAACCAAACAGAAACTCTGAAGGTGAAAAAGACAATCAATGAATTATAAAATTCACTAGATGAATTCAAGAGCAGGCTCAACCAGAGAGAAGAAAGAACCACCAAACTTGAAGACAGGCCATTTGAAATGATTAGGTCTGAGGAGGAAAAGGAAAGAAGAAAAATGAACACGGAGGAAGTGACTTGAGCGACACCATTAAACAATATACACGTTATGGAAGCCACAGAAGAAGAAATGGGGCAGAGAGCTTATTTGAAGAAATAATGCCCCAAAACTCTCCAAATTTGAGGAAAGACATGAATATACACATACAAGAAGCTCAAAAAAACCCAAGAAGGGGAATTCCCTGGTGGCATTGTGGTTAAGAATCTGCCTGCCAGTGCAAGGGACACAGGTTTGATCCCTGGTCCAGGAAGATACCACATGCCGCGGAGCAACTAAGCCCGTGTGCCACAACTACCGAGCCTGCAAACCACAACTACTGAGCCCACGTCCCACAACTACTGAAGCCCGAGTGCCTAGAGCCCATGCTCCACAACAAGAGAAGCCACCACAATGAGAAGCCTGCGCACTGCAACAAGAGTAGTCCCTGCTTGCTGCAACTAGAGAAAGCCCACGCAGAGCCATGAAGACCCAATGCAGCCAAAAATAAATAAATAAATAAAATAAATTTTAAGAAGCCCCAAGAAGGATAAACACAAAAAGACTCACACCAAGACACATTATAATCAAAACGTCAAAAACCAAAGACAAAGAGAGAATCTTGAAAGTAGCAAGAGAACAGCAGCTCGTCACCTACAAGTGATCCTCATTAAGGTTATAAGTGGATTTCTCGGTAGAAACCTCATAGGCCAGAGAGAGCTGGATAATATATTTAAAGTTCTGAAAGAAAAAAACCAAAAACAAAAAAACAACTATCAACCAAGAATTCTATATCTGGCCAAAAAACAAAAAGAAAAGTCCTTCAAAAATGAGGGAGAAGCTAAGACTTTCTCAGATAAACAAAAGTTGAGGGAGTACATTAATGCTAGACCTGTCTTGCAAGAAATGCTGTAGGCAGCCCTTCAAGTTGAAATGAAAGCATGCTAGACAGGAATGCAAAGCTATATGAAAATACAAAGTTCTCACATAAAGGTAAACATATACAAACAAACAGACCAGTATTACTGTAATTTTAGCTTATAATTACATTTTTTACTCTTCTATTGGATTTAAAAGACATAAGTCAGAAAACAACTGTAAGTCTATGGATACACAATATATAAAGATGTAATCTGTGACATAACATGAAGGGATGAAGGGGGAGGGGTCAGAACTGTAAAGGAGTAGAGTTTTTGTATGTGATGGAAGGTAAACTGCTATTACTTTAAAATAGATTATATATTTAGGATGGTATATGTAATTCCAATGGTAACCACAAAAATATCTACAAAATATACACAAGGGAAACAAGAAAAGAGTCAAAAAGTATCATTACAAAAAATCAACTGAACATAAACGAAGACAGTAAGAGAGGAAATGAAGGCCAAAAACTACAAGCTATGCAGAAAACAAATACCAAAATGGCAAAACAAGTCCTTCCCTAACAATAATTACTTTAAGTGTAAAT